ATCTGCTTTACCAAACAACCATATATATTTAGTAATTAACATAATTCTTAATATCTACTTTACCAAACAACAATGGAAATTGAATTAAGGAGGCTTCACATATCTTTAATTAATCCTCTCATCAAACAAAATTGCCAACAAGATTCCAAAAAAGACAAAATACCATTCAGACAAAATACAAAATTAATAATTAATGGGGATCCACTTTCCAATCATGTAGTACATACTAGCTTCGCACCTTAAATTTTCACAATTCATTACAAATTTATAAAAAATTCGACAGAATTTCTCCTAAAAACTATACTTTCCTCATATGAACAAAGTATAAAAATATATTCAACCATATATATATATATTTTCAGCTATGATATTTAATAAAATTAAAATGCAATCTAATTTCACTTAATTCTAATTGATTTTTTAATATGACTAAAAATGAAAGAAAATATCATTTAAATGAATCTCTCAAAAAATGATAATGGCAAAGAAATAATACTTACAATATTCTCCTAAACCTGCTCATCAATATACGTTGACATTTTATCTTTGTCCTTTGAATGATGCATTTTTTTTTGCACGAATTACATCAACGAATGATGGATCCCTATGTTCAGGATCTTTTTCTTTTCGTAATATCACATATTCAAAACATAAAGGTAATTAACATTTTTACCAATTTTTGCATAAAATCATTATAATCCATAGATCCACCGGTGTGAGTTACCTTGGGGCCCTTGACTCGATTTAGCTTTGCTTGCTCTTTGTGCGTGTTGAACTACGAATCCTTTGTCCATATGTACTTTAGCTTCTCCCAAACCTCATCAAACATGTATGGCTTTTTTTCTACATGAAGCCTAGATATTAGTCATCATCTTGTGATATTGATTTTCACAAACGTTCATAAATGCTATATGTACAACACTCTCCTCAATAGGGTCTCACTTGTATCTATTCTGAAAAAAAAAAATATAGGTATCATATATTTATACATTAATTTATTCATATAAGAAAATGCACAAATATAAATAAAAACATGTTATTATAAATTATTCAATAAAATTACAAACTCAAAAAGCCTGCCGGTACACTTCCTTGTGTTCACGAGAAATTGAGTCCCACCCTATGTACGCATAACGCATATTCGACTTAAGTATGATTGAAATATCCTTCCTATCTCAGTTCCCAATGCTAAGCCTTTGGGAAGGATCCTTTGGCAATTTTTGGGTTTTTGCAACACCTCATCTCCTTTTGGGTTGAGGAGGTGAAGATGCACTAGTGTCAGTGTCACTGCCATTACCACATGTCTCTTCCTAGGTCTCCCTGACAATGTGCTCGAAGATCCAATTGCTTGTGACTGATTTTTCCTTATAGGCCTTTGGGGAGCAACATCAACGGCCTTGTCACCTCTACAAGCTCTAGGTAATGCAAAATTCACTGTAAAGACAAAAAATTAAGAAATAATACTACATTAGTATATGATTGAAAAAAATGGATTAGATTTAGACCTTAAAAAAATAAAAGTTAATATGAAATTTAAAAACAATACTTATACATATTAATAAACTTCACATTAATAAAATATTACATACATTACTAAATAATAATAACATCTACATATATTACTAATTAATTAATCACTACTATCACTCTAAAAAATATATTCAATATTTTCTTCCTCATATGTATAATAATCTTCAAATCCTTTCTCCTCCTTATCCTCTTCCTCAATTTTTCTATCATCATCCACATCCTTAAATTCTACATTAATGGTAGATACAGTCCCATCAGCATGCTGAACAGGTTCATATAATATGACATCTAACTAAGTTAGTTGAGAAGCTGGAGGGTCATCATCTTGAAAAATGGGTTCTGGATCATCATGTATGTAATCCCCCAAATTTTTGGGCACTTGGGGATGTTGGGGATGTTGGGAAAAAAATGGGGAAGGGGGGGTGGACGAACAGAAATAAAGAGGAATAGAAAACCTAATTCCCTTTTCTATTTCTTTCATCTTGCGAGCTTTCCTCTGGTTCTTTTCTGGTTTTTCCTCTCTTCTTCCATTCTAAATCCAAACCCTTGAAGCCATCAACCTCATAGCCACTCTACGATGTTTTTCTTCTTCTTCTAATCAAAATTTGTCACTGGCTGTTCCTCATTTCCTTGTCTGTGAATTGACTGTTTAGTAGGTGCATCCTTGCTATTTTGGGTAAGGTTTCTTTCATGTTTTCTAATAGGTTCTGTCAAGATTTCATTTTTATTTTTATTTTTCCATTGAACCCGTGACTAGGCAGCCACCTATATCAAAATTTTCAGCCCTAATTCTACTCGAATTTATGCAGAAAATTCAAGTTTTTGTGTCATCCAAATTCTTAGCCTTGATCTCATCTTTGAAGTGGACATTTTAGATTGATAACAATTCAAGTAAGAGCCATGTCTCTGAATTTTGAAACCTTGCTATTTTATGCTTGATATTTAAGATGTTTTTATGTTAATTTTGCTACAAAAATCTAGTTACAAGTTGTCTGTACCGCTGCTCTATGTATATTGGGTTGAGCCTTGATTTTTTTGGCTATTTTGTGCTAGAAAGTATGTGTTTCTGTTGTTTAAATCAACACTTCTCATGCCCATTAAATTTGGTTTGTTTGGGGTAAGTTTGGTGGCTGATTTTTTGTTCTACTGTTAACTGCCTTTTGCTCCATTTTGGTTTGTGAATTTTTGCTCTGTTAGTTACATTAAAGAATCTGTCTTAGGTGCTGCTTTAACACCAGAACACTGCCTTGCCTTGCTGTTGAAATGTTGGTTGTCTTGGCTTAGTTTTGGTTCATTTTTTGTTGTTGCTTTTGCCATAGATTTGTCTATTTTCTACACTATTTTAAACTAGAAAATCTTGCATTTTCTTGCACCTTCCATTTTTGTTTTTCTGCATTATTTTAACTTAGAAAAATTTTGCATTTTCTTGCACTCTCCATTGTTGTTTTTCTACACTGTTTAACCCAAAAAATTCTACATTTTTCTACATTTTCCTCGTTGTTTTCTGCAATGTTTCCCCTAGAATTTCCTACCATTTACCAAAATTTCACTGCTCCTTGCCGAAAATTTTTGGAATGTCTGCTGTCATATTTGGCAAAATTTTTAATTATGGCTATGCATGTGAATTAATATACATATGCTAGTAAGGTTTTGGTCGATAGAAATGGCAAGAGGAGATAGGGAGAAATTGTTCCTTTGGGTTAGAACTTGGTGCTAGAATTAAAGACTAATTTAGTTGAATTAGGCATGTTGTGATCCTGTTGTTCTTGATATGAAATAGGTTCTAAGACACGTTCGCGTCCTTGAGACTTGAATTCTAGCTTATGGTATAACAACAAGGGGAGGTAAGTAAATTTATGGTTCGTTCTTGATTTTAAAATGTAAGTTTAAACCATGACTTTTATTGATTTTGAGATGGTAGCAAGATTAAAAGCCTGTTTTGGTTTAATTACCATGATTAAATCCTATTTTATTGAGTTGGATTTCAATTTGGTTAAGCAAGTCTATTTATAAAAGTTTTTAACATATCTTACTTGCTCCCTGTTATACATGTGTTCCTGAATTCACTTGAAATGTACTTTCTAACCTATTTTAGTCTCCAATGTGGTCATGTAATACTTGTGCCCACTAGTGGGAGGTTTATAAACTCTAGCTCATGTCGACATGTTACTTATGGAACCGGTTTATTCTTGTTACACTTGTTATCCTGCTAGTGGGATTATACACTAGAAAATCTTGTGCCCACCAATGGGAGGTTTATAAATGCTGACCATGACCTATAGAGGAGGTGTCTATTTCATTCCCGTACTTGTACCCGTTTTTCTTAATACTTGATTGCACTTGTTGGCATGCTATCAATTTTAATTAAGGGTTATCCATATTTTTACTTACTGAGTTATCTCACAGAGTTTTTCCTTGTCCACCATTTCAGGTAGTGAGGCTCGAGACATGGGAAACCAAGGGGAGTGACAAGCTAGAAGGCTAGTCATTGTATTTCGGATGTACATTTTGAGTTGTAGATTATTCTTTGTAAGCTAGATTTTATTTTGAAATATTGATCTAAGTTTATGTGAACTGTTAGTAATGAATTTAGCAAGTTCCGAGCCTTGTGCATTTGTGGGATTCTTTAACAAGTGTACGACGTCTATTTCGCTCCCCATTTTGGGGCGTGACAATGTAGTTCCTCTTGCTTATCTGACATCTCAATAATACTTCTTGCCCTACATTTCAATGCAGCAACCCATCCCTTTCTAATAGAATTATGTGATGGATATGGAGTGTAATACACATGTTTAGCTTAACTTGCTAAGATGAAAGGCTCATAAGTTCTTAATTTTCTATTTAGATTAATATCAACGAGATGGTGTTTTTAGTCAACCATAATACCTTGTGTAGGAGGAATTTCGTACCAATTGCATTTAAACAGAACAACTGTCTGTCAATGTTTGGAGCCAACATATTGAAACTCAATCACTGCTTGCAACAACCCATAAAAATCCAAATTTGATTATGTTCCTATGGTTCTTGTGACACACCTCGCTATTCATTGTTTTTTTGTTTTTTCCATATGAGGCAGTGCGAAATCGAAAACTGTTTACTCAAAAGCCTTTATAGCATGAAACCATCCAAGAAGGGCCATGAGTCAAGCCAATCAAATGCGAGTCAATGCCCTCAAACTCGTCACGTAAAACCTATATCACATGAGTTATTTTATTAGTTATAAGTCTATAATAATTAATTAACAATAATTAAAATTTAGGGTTCAACTTATCATTTTTCAAACCATGACACAAGATAATTGAAACATTTTATCTGTATTTGTTGAGGAGTCATATTTTGACATTCTTCCTTTTTGAAAACCCTAATCAAGCATCCATTATAATTATATGTAAATTAAAACAGTTCATTTAATTTCTCAAATGTTGTGAAGGATAAGGATTAGGAAAATGCACTCACTCAATCCATCCCTTCAATTCTTCATAATTCATTAGAACATAATACATTGCAGCATTATGTTCCTTCACTGTCAACACTTGTTGTTGTAGAGAACCAATTGGTTTTTTAGGATTATTGAATGTTGATGTAATATCCCAAATTTTTGGGAATTTTATCAATTAAGTTAGGGGACTTATTTTGAGAGAAATATTGTTTTGGGGCCTAATAGCTAAAAACTCCAAAGTTGAGGGACTTAAAAGAGGAAAAATTTGGATAAGAATGGCTGATTTTATTTCTCCTTTTCCTCTTTCTTCTTCAACCCGATTTTGCTCTTCTTCTTCTTCTCCCGACAGCCCCCCAAGCCCCTCCAGCCACCGACTCATTTCCTTGAGAAAAATTGGTGACAAAGCTTGAAATTTCTCCTTCTTTTCTTGTTCTAGAACACATATAGAACCCAAAAACCTCCCCCCCTCTGCAGGAAATTTCGGATCTGCTTTGCTCTGTTCCTCACCGTCGGTTGCTCTTGCTTATAGGTGCGAATTGCTCTGGTTTCTAGTAAGAAATAGCCACCAATTCCTCTGTTCTTCCTGATTTGCCTTGGGTTAACTTTGATTTCTCTTGGTTCTCCAATTTTTGGGATAGATCCCAAATTTCTCCCCAATTCCCGCCGGCTTCCCCTAGCTTGCAGCTCCGATTTTTGCTGCTAAATTCTGGTATGTGACAACCCTTTTGAGCCTAAAATTATGCATTAGTTGCTGAATTTAGTCCAATTGATTGCTGCCCTATGTTGTTCGAATTTTTGCTAAAATGGGGGATGCATTCCGGTAGCTTTAGAACAAAATTTAAGCATTGATTCAAGTAGAATTTATGTGGTTGAGTGTTAATTAGCTACTGTGAGATTTTGGAGAAAAATCCCGTGAGATTAGTTATTGTTTTGCCCATTTTTGGAAGTTGCAGTTACTGTTCACGGGGCACTGTTCACGCACTGATTGCCAACAATTAACGGGGATTTAAATGTTTAGTTTGTAATGTAAGAACAAATTTGGAGATGTCCGGTCATGTGGAGACTGATAGAAATAGTATCGTTGATTAGGGGTAGTCCTAATGATGATTTTACTTTGGATTTGTGGTAGTGCGGTATTAACTTTGGAATACTGTGATTAGGTTTTGATTGTTCTGTCACCGTAGCACTTGGGTTAAGCCTTCTGTTCTGTGCGAGTAAGATAAGTAAATTATGGTAATGCTCTCTGATTTTAAAGCATGTTTTAAATTGTTTTTGAGATGGTGGAAAGGTTTAAATTGATTTTAAATTGATTTATTTACACCGAGCATCATTGGTTTGAAATGAAATTGTTTTCATTTGCATTGAGTAGAGCATGCCTATTTGGAATTGACTGAACTGCCTTGATGAACTAAGGATTTTGTAAATTCTGAGTTTTTTTCTGTTAAATCCATGCTCACATGGAAATTTTCTAGGTTATTTCTGAAATTTGAGATTGATTGTGAATTATGGATTTTTCTGTAAATTCTGCATGGTTTTATCTCTGATATAGTCATGATTACTGACGCCCGCTAGTGGGAGTTTGCAAACGCTAGCACATGTCGACATGTATTTCTGTAGAACCGGTTCATCCTGCCAATGGGGTTAAACATTAGTAATTACTGATGCCTGCCAGTGGGAGTTTGTTAAACACTGGTACTACTGACGCCTGCCAATGGGCGAATACATTGGTAATTACTGAAATTCTACCAATGGGATAAAACATTGGTTATTATTGTGCCCGCCAGTGGGAGGTTTATAAACGTTGGCCATGACCTATAGATGAGACTACTGAATTTTCTTCTGCATTAACGGTTTGTCATTGAACGCTTTGTTATTGAACGCTTTGTTATTTAACTGAATCTGATTTTACATTAACGGTTTAGCATTGAAAGTTCTGTTATGCTTACATGGTTTATCTGGCATGCTTAAATTTTTACCAAGGGCTATCCATATTTTTACTTACTAAGATATTTTATCTCATAGTTTTCCTTGTCCACCATTTCAGGAAACGAAACCGAGGACGGGGAACCCAAAGGGAGTGACGAGGTAGAAGGCTAGCCATTCTTATTGGATATAAGTTTTAGATCTTATCATCATTTTGTAAGGTAGATTTTATTCTTGAGATGTTGTGATTTGAATAAGTTTCGAGCCTTGTGCACTTGTGGGACCCATCTCACGAGTGCACGGCGTCTACCACGTCCCCGGATTTGGGTTCTGGGCCGTGACAGTTGAAAAGCTAATATTAACAGAAGGGCCCAAGCCAACAACATTCCTGGGAATGCGATCACCTCTTATCTCAACTTCTCTTTCAAAATAAAGCGAGATAAAGTATGAGATCTCACTCATTATATAATTTTCACATATTGATCCTTCTAGATGAGCTTTATTTTTCATTGAATCCTTCAATCCATGCATTCGCCTAATTCATGAAAAATAAATTTAAATAATTAATAAATTAAAAAGAAAATTATGTTTTATATTATAGATATAAAATATTAAAAAATTATATATTCTAATAATACCTCTTAAATGGATACATCCAATAGAATTGCATTGGTCTCCCCACCCGGGCTTCATATGAAAGGTGGATTAATAGATACTCCATCAAATCAAAAAAAGGAGGGAAGATTCTTTCAAGTTGGCGTATTGTTTCTACAATCTTTATATGCTAAATCTCCATATTTGTAACACGAATGGCTGGAGAACATAAGGCTCTAAAAAACTCACTGATCTTGGTAAGTACTTCCCAAACTTATTTTGGGAGAACACCATGGAATGTAATTGAAAGGAAACTTTACATGAATATGTGGTAATCATAACTTTTCATCTTGCTTACTTTTGCCTTTTGCATATTCACACACCGAGAGATATTGGATGCAAAGCCATCAGGAAATCTAAGATTCTTTAGCCATTGGCACATTGATTTTCTCTACTCCCTACTTAAGACATAAGTGGCCTTCAGTTTTTTACCCACATTGGAGCCTTTTTCTGGTATACAAAGACTTGGCCTATTGTAATGTAATTCCCTATCCATCCTTGCCTTCAAGTTATCCTTTGTCAATGGGTCATCTGTGATGGTGTGAAATATACATCAAAAAGGTTTTTCTCACAGTGCATTACATCTAGATTATAATGGATTCAGTTTGTGCTCTAATAAGGAAGCTCCCAAAAAATACTCATTTTAACCCAGTTATGCCAATTACCAAATCCTTTGATCACTTGCCTTTGGGATAGCTTCCTAAATAGTATATCGAGCAACTACTGAATTTGTCAAAACATATCATCACCTAACAATCTCTCTAGTGGGGCAAGATTCTCTACATAGCCTTTTTTAAAATCATTCCTACTTTTCTTGAATGGATGATCGGGGAGTAAAAACTATTGATGACAATCAAAAAATGATATCTTCTTATCGTTTAGGAGGTGCAATGCCTTAGAATTTTCATGACACTATGGACATGATAATCTACCATGTGTGCTCAATTCAGATAACATGCTATATCTAGGGAAGTCACTAATTGTCCACATAAGTGCTGCTCTCATAATGAAATGTTGATGCCTAAAGCTATCATATGTCTTGACTCCATTATACGAAAGTTCCTTTAATTCATCAATTAGTGGGCATAGCATGACATCAATGTTTTTTCCTAGACTATGAGGGCCTTGTATTATTAGAGAAAAAAAGATGGACTCCGGTTTCATATACATTGATCGAGGTAGGTTGTAAATAGTCAAAAATATAGGCCAACATAAATACGGGTTACTGTATGTCCAAATGGAGTGAACCCATTTGTGCACAATCCAAGCCTTACATTCCTTAGATCTAACCCAAAGTTGAGGTAGGTGCGATCAAAGTGTTTCCATGCCTTAGCACCGGCAAGATGCACAATCTCTCAGATTCACCACCACAAGTGAGGTGCCATATCATGTGCTCAGTAGTTTTCTACATGTGTATAACCTTTTCAATCTAGGTGTAATTGGAAGATACCACAATGACTTCCTTGGTATATGTTGATTCTGTTGCACACATCTATGTTTATAACAAGGTTCACCACATACTGGACATGCGATGTAATTTTTGTTTTCATATTCACCATAATACAAGAAGCAGTTATTTACACAAACAGCATGCACTTAGAACCAAGATTGAATCACCTCATCATCTTTTTAGCATTGTAAAAATCTTTTGGAATCCTATCCTGATCCTCTAGCTTAATCTATCTCCCACTGCACTTCAACACATAATCCTAATTAGCTACACTCATATTATAAAGTGTCTTTACATTCATAAAATGAGACACCCATTTGGGTATTGTATCACCCTCAACACATCCATCATAAAGTGGCGTGTTAACAGCTTGCAAAAGATAAAAAAATTCCTTCACATCTCCCATTGCCTCCTCAAAGATTGCCTCCTCACTAGCTTGTTCATTCATATTATATTCTATACCATGTGAACTCATTGCATCCATAACCATATCTCTAATTGGATCATTATTTGGTTCTTTCATCACAAAGGGAGCTGCACTAGAGGATTCCCCCCTTTGATAAAGTTGTCCTTTTGCACTTGTTGCTCTCCGTGTGCAAGTTGGACTATATACCCATTCATAAAACCTTTTTTTGTCAAATGACACAGCACAGTAACATGACAATGGCCTTTTTGGTTCATACATTTAGTACACAGACAGCTAACTCGATTTCTACTACAAAATTCTAGGTTCGAATGAGAAAATGCATAATCTAGAAAGAACTCCACACTAATTTTGAATTCATCGATAAAATAGCCATTATCATCTAAACAATTATACATTCAACCTCAATCTCCTATCATGTGAAATATTTCCTTAAATTTATATTAAAAAATTCATATCCCCACACAAATAATAATACATCAAATTTAATAAATTGCTAAATAAATTTCATAAACTAAAATTAAAAATTAATATAATTAGTGTTATCATAATTTACTAATTAATTAATCAATATAATCATAATTTACCAATCAATTAATTAATATAATCATAATTAATTCCCAACGAATTAAACAATTAATATAATCATAATTTTATAATCGATTAATTGATTTATTTAATTAATCATAGTTTATTTATTAATTAAAGAACATAATTATAATTTACTAGTTTTGTAAGCGCACGGGGCATTTTTCTTTCTATGTTTATATTGATTATTTTTAGTATAAATAAATTTAATAAGTTAAAACTTTTATA